AAAAGAAGGAAGAAGAAAAAGGTTGAGGGGAAAGGGGGTTTCACGTGAAAGAGGGAAAAAGAAAAAGAAAAGAAAACAAATTTCTTTCCATTAGGGTTTTTTCCCCTCTTTCTTGCGTTCTTCCACCCTCGTTTTGTTTCCCTTGCCACTTGGTTTAAATCCCAAAAGCCCAAATTAAAAATAGGCCCATGGATTAAACTAAACTCTAAATTTCTTCTTTCACTAATAGTCTTCCATAGAGAAGCCGAAGCAAAAACACTAAAGTAGGAATAATTAAACCCATGCCACCCACCATGAGTTTAAAATAGAACAAACAAAATGAAACAAAATAAGATAAATCGATGTAAATCCAATAAAATAAATAAATAAATTGGGACGAAACTCGAACTCGGGTCCATGGATATATGACCATTAATGGCAAGTCAATCCTTCACGAGTACTCGTTAATCAAGTTGGGTCAAATTACCGTTGTACTCCTGAGTTACATCTTAATCCTTAAATATCACTACTCCTCTAATGAACAATCCGGTTATGGTCTGATCAATAATCGAAAGTCCCTATCGGAACAGTGAGTAATGACCTTGTTCAAGTCCTGGAGTCAGCATGTAAGAGAACACTCATCTACTCCTCTAAAGTGGGGGAAGAGTGAATTCCATCTTGTGAAGTTATGTTCCCAGCTCCCCATTCGGTCTCGTCCCCAAAATGGTAGGAATGTTGAGTTGGTGACACGGGCCATTCTCACCCATACAGATCAAAAAACAAACTCTCATGTGCAAGAGTCCATAACTCACTCAAGATTTAGAATGAGTTGCCAGGTCATCCTATGAAATAGCAATCTATTAGTCAACGACGTTACATCTAAATATTGGCTATTTCTCAGTTCGGTCTTATACAAACTCATTGTATAGGATAACCTCACTCGCATGTCTCCACACGAACGTCTTGAATCGGGTCGTTTGTAACATTTACAAAGTGGGTCGTATCCATAGTGTTGCCAGGATAAGGTACCCAACCTTATCCATATACTATAGACCCTTTAGGTTATTCCCGAGATATTATTCACTTGTATATCAGGGGTATATATACCTAGTATATAGGGTATATCAAATATATACCCAATATATATACTGTCCCGGTTACATGAAGATAACCTTGGATGTTTAGTTTATTGGATTCGGACAATGAATTCAACAACAATTCGATTGAATGTGAAACCATAACTTTATTGATTATAAATTTGTTTTTATATAATTACAAACTACGAGTTTAAGGCAACACACTCAATACAGCTGACGTTCGATTCTCACATCCAAACAATAGTGAGCTTCCTAATAGACATCAAGGAGGAAAAGATGGAAAGAAACTTTATTCATGGTGCCAAATGAAGACACGAGAAGAAGATGAAGAAACTTTGTATTAATAATTTTTATTATTTTAAATTTGTTATTTCTATTATTTTAGACCTTTATATTTTTAACGAATGATTTAACATTGAATCATTAATTTTATGTGTTTCTTTTCAAAATTAGCTATGTCAATTAATTACGGCCAGTAGTATAATCTTTTAGCTTCCTTTTGAAATTAGGGATTTAATCTTGTGAACAAACAATCAATTTCAGTTTAGAATTAATTTTAGTATTTTAGTGTGAGGACTAAGAGTTCACCAATTTTGCAATATTAATCTAGGTTGCAAGCCCAAAACATTCAACTTAATTCCTCCCACTGCTTTTGCTGAGATGAGCTCCCCTGATCCAACCCGAAGAGTGACCTCATCTTCTCCAAGCTGTCTCCAGGAACTAGTTTCCAGAAAAGAAGAACAAACATGATTAGTAGCTCCTGAATCTAGTATCCTGGTATAATCATCATTCTCCACTATACATGTTTCAATGACTAGTAAATCGAATTTACCTTGCTTTTCCTTCTCAGCTCTTTTCTCGGCGAGGTATTTGAGGCAATTTCTTTTCCAGTGCCCATTTTCATTGCAATGGAAACATTTTCCTTTTCCAATTTTTTCCTTGCCTTTTACCGCAGCCGGAGCCTTCCCCTTCCCATTGTCCTTCTCTTCTTTTGAATTCCTTTCTTCTGATAAGAAGGTCCAGATTTACTCCCAGAGAAAGATCCCTTGTGGAATTTCCTCTTTGAGGTAGTAGCAACATTTGCCTCAGCTTCAAAACCTTTGTTTTTCAACAAAGATTCGTAAAGTTGGAGTTCATTCAGAAGGGTTGTCAGGTTGTATTCAATCTTATTCATCATAGCATTCGTTTTGAATTGAAAATAACTCTTCGGAAGAGATTGCATGATGAATCCAACCTAACTTATTTCGTTCATGACTGCGCCGTTTCTGCAACATTGAAGTGAACCATCATGTTCAAAACATGCTCCCTTACAGAAGATCCTTCCTTCATTCTGCAGTTGTAAACATACTTAATCGCATCATGCATGATAGATGTTGATGGTTGTCCAAACAAGGCTTGTAGAGAGTCCATGATCTCTCTTGCAATAGCTAATCCCTCATGCTTTTTAGACAATACATCTGATATACTGGCTAAAATGTAGACACAAGCTTTTTCATTAGCTTTAACCCATCTATCATAGGCATCCCGAACTGTTCGGTTTGCATTAGGGGTAAAGGCTGGAAGACACTCCTCCGTTAAAACGAACCTTAGATCGTCAATAACTAGTATTGTGTTTAAATTCGATTTCCATATTCTGTAATTGTCTCCGTTAAGTTTATCGGAAGCTAGCAGTTGTATATTTGAAGTAGACATTGCTGAAAAGTGAACAAAACTATTAGTGAATTGTATAACTCTTAATTATTTCATCCAATTTTATTTAGCAAGAAATAATTTACCCATTCATTATTACTTTTGCAACAATACTTCAGTGAGTCAGAGTATCCCCCACCGAAGGAAAGTCGACTACTCCTTCACTGAATCAAGACATTCTTGACTAAATACTAACTCTGGAGTAACTCTTATCTCTATAGTACTTACTTATCGTTAATTTGGTCAAGAACTTACTAACACGTAGCAAGTCTTGTAAGTGTAGACCCGCCATTTTCGAATTACAGAGATCGGAATCAAACAAGCCCTTGAAGGAGAGACAATTGCTGAAAACGGACCTAAGTAACCCTATCCATTTCTGGAGTTCACGGTGTTCCGAATCCTATGTTTCAACCCTCCGAAGGGATATGCGCTTATAAACACCAAGCAGGTGCAACATAAGAATCTCACGGTGTGACCTAATGGAAGAGACCGTAGGACGTGTTGACACACACCCTTCACCCACTTACTATGAACTATTTCCCCTATTCACCTTGTTATTGACCCATGCAAATACTTTCCAAAGGGAGGTTGCCCAAATAGCAACTCGAAGCAGAGCATGAATCTCACGGTGTGAACTCTTAGGAACGTGAGAGCTATAAATAATGTATCTCATACACTATTAATCTCCCACTAAAGTGTTCTATTAAAAAATTGGGTAATTATTAAGCTATATACCGGCTAATTATATACAACCTAAGTCTAGGTGATTTTCCCAGTATAACTCTTATACTGGGATTAACCTACAATGTCTAGGTGATAAACCAATTTTATTACCTCACATCTCTCACGCATGTTCATAAAACTAGGGTTATTGACTCAGACGCTGGTTTGATCTCCAGGTAGGAGGTGTTCCGTAAACCATCAACTTAAGTACCCCCAACCTTAGACAAGATCTCACCGGGTGAGTAAACAACTTTTGTTTTACAAGTTATCGCCCTATTTTAACTATTAAACGGAACTAATTGCTTTGCACTGATTAACCCTAGGTGAGCATGCAAGTTTATCTTTGTTATAGATTATAAAAGTCTAAGTGATTTTATAACATTTATAAAATCTAGACATAACAATTATATGATTGACATAAATCTAAAACAAGCATCCACTTATTAAAGTCATAAACTAATAACATTTATATCTAATTTATGAAATTAATTTCATGCATTCACTAATTAAAGTCATAAACTAATATAACATTTATATCTAATTTATGAAATTAATTCCATGCATTCACATACATTATAACTCTTATAACATAAATGCAACCATGTTTATCCTATGGTGGGGTTTTAAATCTATATGACATACTTTATGCATAAAGGATTTAATCTTCAATTAAAACATACATCAAACATGCATAAATAATTGAACAACTACTAAAAATGGTTGATTTTGGCATCCCAAGCACACACAAACTAAGCTATTACATTAATAAGCTTGAAGTAGCCTTGAACCGCACCCAAACAGCCTTCCAAGGTGCTCGAATCCGCCTCCAAAAGGTGAAATTAAGTGCTGGAAATTCAAAAAACAACAGCAGTAACGGAAAAGACAGCATGCTTTTGAGCTTGAACCGGCTTCGTTTACAACCTCTGATTAACTCTAAATGACTCAAGTAAATTACAGACTCGATCAAGCACAACAAGGCCCAAAACGAGGGCTTGATTACAATAATTAAATAACCAAAAGCAAGCTAAAAGAAGGGATGCCAAAACAGAAACTAGTTTAGTACATGCAACAATTCATCTTATGAATTAAACCCCACCAAGCTAAATAAGTTTAAACAGCATGCTCTGATACCACTTGATGGAACTCTTAGACATACACAGCGGAAGCTAAGGATCATAATACACTTAATGAAGCAATTTAACTAAAATAAGCATGCTTGGAAAAATGATGAAAAAGGTAAAGAGAAAAAGATTAACTTTATACCGTTGAAGACCTCCATTATAACTTTTTCTCCTAACTCAATGGGACCACCAACGACAAATCTATGTTATCCTCGGGTTGATGAACACGGTTGTGGGACCGAATTTTGAGTGAAAACAAAGGGAAAACACTAATGGCTAGGAGAAGACAATAGAAATTAGAGTGGAAAAATTCTGCACTTATGCAAGTAAGCATTAGCCTTATCCAAGTGATCTTCATCACCTATATAAAGACCAAATGCATGCAAAGACATGTCTTCCATGCCTTCCACTTCAAACTCCACTAGCATGTAAAAGATAGGTGTCATTGCCTTGAAGAAACACTTCAAAAACCACTAGTTAGTGGGAAAATCCAACTTTGAAGTTGGATTTTTCCACTAACTTGATTTTTTAAATAAAACTTTGATAAAACTAATTTTTATAAAAACAAAAATTGAAATATCAATTTTCTACTAAAACAAAAACCAAGCCAAATCAATATCTCATATTAATTGATCTTTGACACCTAAGCTTGATTAATCACATTAATCAAATTACAACTCTTCTTCATGCTTTGAACTTATTTAAAACTAATTTAAATAAGTCATACTCTCCATAACAATTAAATGTCAATTAGATTATATATTATATCTCATATAAAATATAATATTCCGTTAAAACCGAATTTGAACACTTCAAATTCTTGCTTTACCTAGTTCATCAATTTTATCCTTTATGAGCTAGCATGGAGACCTGTTGGACCTACAGATCATGGGCTCCAACGATTCGAGACTAAYCGGTCAAACTCTTTAACTTAGTTAATCAACATTCGTTAAGTAACAGGACTGTCCACTATAGCCTRTAGATGCACTCCCCTCACTGTAGATATATTTGTGTCCATTCGATATAACCGTCATCGGTAAGTTGATCCTTCACAAGCCGTTCGTAACCTCAGCTAGGTAAAAAAAAACAGTTTTACCCTTGAGTTACATCTTTTCTCCTTAAGTACCACTATTCCTCTAATGAACAATTGATTAGGAACAAATCACTAAATCTAATTCCTCTCAGGCCAGTGAGAGGATGAGGCCCCTTGTTCAAGACCCGAGATCAGCCCTTAAGGGAACAACCTCTCTACTATCCCTAAATCGGGAGGAGTGAATTTCGTCTTGCTAATTCTATGTCTCCAGCTATCTACCCAGTCTTATCCCTAAAATGGGAGGCATATTGAGCAGCGCTGATGAGCTTACTCTCACCTATGCAGATCAAGGGAGAATCCTGAATAAATAGGAGTTCATAGATAACTGAGGATTTAGATCAAGTTATTTAGGTCATCGATAAACGAAATTAATCAGTTTTATCCGTAAACAGTGTTAATACGTAACAATGATTATTTCAGGATCAGTCTTACACAATCTCATTGTGTAGAACACCCCCGCTCACATGTTTCTACACGAACGAATCAGGATCACTTCGTTTATGACACCTTGTAACATTTGTAACAATCATAAAGCGGGCCGTATTGAATAGTGTCTCCAGGAAAAGGTACCCAACTTGATCCATGTACTATAGACTGTTTCTGCTATTTACTTGAACTTGATCCAGTTTATGTCTCCACACAAAGTCCAAGTACACATTATAATAGCCAAGGGTTAGTAGTTTATTGGATTTATTAAAAAACAAATTCACTTTCATTTAACAACATTTGTCTGAATAACCTCACATTAATATTCACTCTTTACAAACTACGAGTTTTAGGAAAGAGTACCCAACACGAATTAATTTTCGGGACACTATAAATACCCCAAGGCTCCGTATCCATTTTATACGTTTTCTTAATTCTTCGAGTCCGACCTGATCAGATCAGAATCTTGCTTTAGGTCAGCCTCGTTCCTTTACTTTTTGTTTCTTATTTTCAACTTTTCAAGTCATGTCAACGTCTTCCGGTTCCCCAAGTTCGTCTAGCAATAGTTCTTCTAGTAGCGCAGCTCGGAGTCGGGATTCTTCACCCAAGAAGGTTGATTCTGTACAGGAGTTTGCGAGTAGGCTTGACTCCGAACGAGAGGAAGAGATAGCAAATTTTAGGTCATCCGAGGATGATGGAGATGATACTGACACATCTACCTCGGGCCAAGGTTTAGAGTACCCTTCCTAGATGCCTGAAAACTACCTCGGCCCCCTTCGTAGGAGATACAGCATACCGGATGATATCATCCTAAGGCTTCCTAAGGAAGGGGAGCGAGCCGAAAATCCTCCAGAGGGGTGGGTAACCCTATATTTGGAGATGTTCAAGTATGACTTCCGCCTAGCCGTTCATCCTTTGGCATAGGAGTTCTTAACCCGAACTAGGCTAGCTCCTACTCAGGTTGCCCCCAATAGATGGAGAATAATCTTTAGTTTAGCAGTCTTATTTTGGCTCAGGTGTAGGGTAATGGATGATCTCAACCTCCTCGGAGTCGACCAACTCTTAGCTTGTTCGAGGTTAAGCAAATCTCTAGGAAGGTAAGGAGGTACTATTTATGCGCTAGGAAGGGCACTGAAGGCATCTTGAAAGGTCCAACCTCCATAAAGAAGTGGGTTGGGAAGTGGTTCTTTACCTCCAGAGTGTGGCTGGCTAAGAACGAGTCCGACCTGTTCTTCCACAACATCTTTTGTAGGTTTGGGAATCTAGGTAAGTAGTAGAGTCTTTATTTGCTTTTAATTGCTTCTCTTCATGTTCTAACCCATGGCTTTGGCGTTTTCAATTGCTATAAGGCCGATCCCTCAGCCTTCCGAGCCGACCTTCAACACTTTGAAGTTCTTCAAAGGTAGATTTAAGAGCGTCAAGCAGATCAGCACGCTTATAACGGATAAGCTTCTTCCTGCCTCTGAACTGCTTGATTATAATCCTCTTTTAGCTTCTCCTAAGCTCGAAGACCGAACTCGAAGCTAGGTTAGTTGCCTTTGGGTATTTTGTACTTAATCTCTTATGGTTTTTTTACTTTGTGCTTACCTCATATTTTCTTTCTTTGCAGCCATGGTGTGCGGCTTTTCTCAGGACGTTAG